AGTTAAGACCTACAGTCGTGGTGCGGGGAGCCATGTCCTTTGGAGGGCTCTCTGATCTGCATGTTGTACCATAGGATGAACAGATTAATGGTGAATAGTATAGAGGGGAAATCCTAAAGGAAAACCCGTTTAAATAATTGAAAAATCATGCGAGCAGGTCAATAATTGAGAATAATCTCATTCCGGACATGTCAAGTATTAATTTTCTGCAGTACAGAGTCACAACTCTTACAACTCTGGAGTCCCAGAGGTTGCTGTCAGAAAAAATCCACATTTCCGATGGAAAAACACGTGGCCGGCAAATAGCCTTCAATTCAATCAAAAATCTCTAGTCAATTCTTAGTAATATGGTTGATGAGAAAGTGCCGGATTCATTTGCTGAATTTGAGAGGTCGTCTGGAGAAATATCACCTCAGAGACTCTCCAGAATCTCATTCTTCCGATACCAAGTAGGGTAGAAGCTGTCCTTAAAGTCAATCAAAACGTTTACGCAAAGTAAATTGTGAAATATATATATTATTTAAGAAACTGAGTGTGTTATTAGCGTTCCAAGAATTTCGGGACACCTCTTACTTGTGCGTCATTGCGACGCGCATGCTTTTTTTCCCAAACATGTTTAGGTGCTGGCGATTACTTCTGCAGCGGTAACGACAACTCAAATTTCGCGGCTGCAACCAAACCAGGCGCAGACATGCGGCAGATAGCTGACAGCGGCAAGCACGTGATGCAGAAGTTTGTCGCCTCATTTATTGATTTTCCGAAACCGCTGGTCGCCCTTATCAACGGTCCTGCCGTTGGCATCGCGGTCACCACTCTGCCTTTGTATGACTGTGTCCTAGCGTCAGATGCCGTACGTTCACATGACCTTTGTGCTGCTCTTCCGATGCTTATCCAATTCATACATTTCGAGGTCACATTATTTGCATGGCCCTTAAAAGACATTTGGTCACCTTTTAAATATTAACAGTGGTCAAGCAACCGGATGAGTTGTGCTTTATTTTACAAATCTTCGTACTTGTCTCAGAATCGGTCTGGAGAGATATGCCAGATACAGCAAAATATATTTTGTAGCATACAAAAAGCAGATGAATATTGCCGGCAAGGGCAAGGCAAACGGGAATTGCAGTTTCATCAGTCGGGGCGTGAACACGTGACCTCTTCCTTACAATCCAACGGGCAAGAGTAGTTTATGTAGTGCACTTCATTTATCCCTAGTTCCAGCATTTGTGCTACGAAAACGGTGGTTATAGGGTTTTATGGGTGGGGAATTAGGATACGCAATGGAGTATACTTTAATAACTGCTATATGCATTTATTTTATTTTATTGTATTTGTAAATGTTGTCGATTTATATCTGTAGATTTTCCTAATCTGTATTATCGTTTAACATATTACGGAAAAACCGATTATCAAATTGCAGGTTCCTTGAAATTCCTGAAAAAAATATAAATGGTTATAAGGAGGTCGCTACTTAAACTTATCTGAGGTCCAACTTACCGTTCTGGAGTTAGATTAGTATAGTCCGCGACACGAAGCGCCACGTCCACCTCCAATTTACACGCGAAACCAATTACTCCCAACGGCCGCGGGAAACAAATTCGACTTTATTTTTCCATTTTAACTTTCTTTAAGAAATTTCCTTCATTGCCTATCCTATTGCTGCACCCCCAAAACCCTATACCTACCGTTTCTGTGAGCAAAATGCTGGGACTAGGGGTATATTATATGCACTCAATAAACTACTTTTGCCATCCAACGCTCTAACCATCGAACTACGGACTCCTTGTCTTACCAGATTAGGGGGGGGGATGTATAACATTAGTGAACAGACGCTCATCGGTTACGGGGCTCACTCGTTCCATTCAAGAAGTGGTTATTTCAGTCTCCCTAGGCTTTGTCGGCAATATTCATCTGCCTTTACTAATAATAATAGCCACTGTGGGTCGCTAATGGTACTTGAAATTGAACCGCAAGGCAGTACTTGAAAGGTGTGCCG